CAGAGAGAGCAGGAGAAAGGTCTGGAAATGAAGGCAAAGGCAAACTGACATACAGTTGAGAAAAGGTAAGAATATGAAGAACAGAGTGTTGACACATATAAAATAGCACCACTCTGGAGTGACAGTGAAAAACCAAGGGTGCACATTGCAGGAATGTGGAAGAATGAATTGGTAGGACCTAGTGACATTCTTGAAAATTCTGGTAAGAGAAAGTCAGAAGAATCTTCAACATTCAGAACCTTGAGCTGCTTAGTCCTACGCCTCATGATTTTGTGTGTGTGTTTGTGTGTGTGTGTGTGTGGTGTGGTGTGTGTGGTGTATGTGGTCTGGTGTGTGTATGTGGTGAGTAATGTGTGGTGTGTGTGATCTGTATATATGGTGTGTATGGTGTGTGTGTGGTATGTGTGGTATATGTGTATTGGTATGTAGTGTGTGGTGCATGTGGTACGGTTTGTGTATGTGGTGTGTAGTATGTAGTGTGTGTGGTGAGTATGTAATCTGTGTATGTGATGTGTATATATGATGTGTGTGTGTGGTGTACAGTGTGTAGTGTGTGTGGGGTGTAATCTGTATATGTGTTGTGTGGTATATGTGGTATGGTGTGTATATATGATGTGTGTGGGTATGTGGTATGTGTGTGTGTGTGTGTGTGTGTGTGTGTTGGTGTGTGTGATGGAGGGCTGTATCTTAGTGATGTCTTTAAAAATATAATTCACAATAGGAACTTCAAACTTCAATGAGCATAAGGTCCTCTGGGGAACTGGCATAAGATGTAGATTAGAAAAAAAAAAAAAAAAAAAAAAAAAAAAAAAAAAGATGTAGATTACTAGGCTCCATTACAGACAGTCTGATTCAGTGTGTCCAGTGGTTTGAGGTATCTTTACTTTGGTCTTTCAAAATAAAAGAAAACAGAATCAAATACTTCACACAGCTCTAGAAGAAATGATAAATCACAAAGGGTATCCAGAAGTGATGGTGAACACATGATCCCAGCTCAGATCCCATCATTAAAGCATGAGGCAGGAGGATGATGAGTCTGGGATCAGAAATGAGCTACATAGTGAGGCCATCCCAAAACAGAAAAGGGTAGGGATGTAGCTCAGTGGTACAGTGTCTACTTCAAATGTACAAAGCCTCAGGCTTAACCCTCAGCACAAGACAGAGAGAGACAGAGACAGAAAGAACCCAAAAGAATAAACGTTGATTATCTTAGAAAAAATTAAAACTCGTTTTTTTTTATTACATAGTCACCTAAACTAAAACAGAAAGATACATTTCAGGGGGCTGGAGAGATGGCTCAGAGATAATAGTTTGTATTGCTCTTCCAGAGGTCACGCGTCCTCCCAGCACATATGCCAAGCGGCTCATATCTACCTACAATTTCAGCTCCAGGAAACTGATGCCCACCTGTGGCCCCCACAAGCCCCCACACAGGTGACATACACTCAGACATACATACAATACATAAATAATTATCATAACCAAAATTAAAGGGTTTTGGTGCAAAACACTTTCAGCAAATGGCTAGTATTTTATAACAGGCCAATAAGCCAGTCAGCCAACTTGGTAGCCCTAGTAAATGAGAAAGCACAGAAACAGAATAATAAAAGAAATAAAAGAAAATAAAGATGTGCACCTAAATCAACTCAGAAAGCATCACTTCACCCAAGCAAAGGTGTACGCTTCCTAAGCAAACAGCTTTCAGAGTGACAATGGCCAAAGCAGATGAGATGCTGTGAGCTTTAAACAATTCAAAAAAAAAAAAAAAAAAAAAAAAAAAACAACCAAAAAAACCCATATCCTTAGACAGAGAAGTGCTGCTTTTGGTAATATAACTTTCTGTGGAGGATTTGTTTTTAAAAAGAAAAGTGATCACTTTAGAATGCTAGAAGCTGAGCTGGGACGTGCAGGTGACAGTGGGACACTCCCCTTCTTCTTCCTTAAGCTTGCTAGAAGACCTAGCCTTATGCACAGAGGGTTGGCTCATGCCTGAATTCTAGAGCTTGGGAGGCTAAAGCAGGAGGATCACAGTAAGTTCAAAGCCAGCCTGGGCTATATGGTGACTTTGAGAAGAAAATAATAATATACAGGGGGAAAATTGTAACTAGGGGTCTGTCTTCGTGGTAGAGCAGTCTCCAGCATGCAAAGGATTGGGCTCCAGCATCACCGCCAAAACAAGAGAAGCAAAGAAAAATAGGTGAATTTTACGAAAAAAATATGATTTTTACAAAGACAGAAAGATCCTGAGAAAGGTTTTAAAATACATTTCTAACAATAGCCAGAGAAGCTCCAATAGTGCCTTCCTCAAAATTAGCAAGAACAATCAACACAGTGACATTTGTGTGTCTGCAGGACATTTAGAAGAGCTATGAATCCACCACAGTGCTTAGGAACAGCCCCCATGCTATTTTGGAGTCATCTTAGGTGTACAGGTAAAACTCTTTTCATTCAGGGAGCAGACAACAAAATATAAGAAAAACCAAGACAGCCATGGAGCAAATGTCTTAAAGTGGCAATAATCAAATGTTTCAAGGAAATTCAATGGCAGAAGACAAGTACAGTTATAGGCAAATGTTTTGTAAACACAGTCGTATCCTGTCACAAATTCACACATGGAAATCAAGGGTAGCAAAAAATGCAGTTAAATGATGAGGCTGCCCAGTGAGGAACAGTCTCGTAAAGCCTGCAAAAAGCTTGCAAAGCTTGCATAAGACACTCCGTTGAATTTTACCTGCTATGGTGCTTCTGGGCAGTTTTACAGTTAAGATTACAAACTGCCCTAACTTTGACATCTCCTGATGCATCATTTGCATTTTGGACTTGCCTTCCCACCAAGTCTAACTCAGCAGTGGCCGTCCCCTCTCTATGGTGCATGAAGTTGGACTGCACACTCCACCAACAGCCCACCCCTCCCCCAAAACTATGAGCTCCATGTCCCTATAAGGATGTCTCAAATTCTGTCAGAGATTCGAGAATTACTACTCTATTTACTTTAACAAACTTCATCACAAAAAACTGGATAAGGTTAATAAATAATGGAACTGTAGAAATTAAAAGTTGCAGAAAGTACAGGAATTTTTTTCCTTCCTTCCTTCCTTCCTTCCTTCCTTCCTTCCTTCCTTCCTTCCTTCCTTCCTTCCTTCCTCAGGCAGGCAGAGTCTATGGGCTGCCCCATGGACAGGGCCAGCCTAATTGGCAGTCACCCTGCTGTGTCTGTTATGGGGTCTGTCACCTGGAATGTGGAGAGCTCAGCTGGGCTGTGCTGGTCCTAGAGTAAGTATTTCATGCTGACCTAGTAAGTTAGGAAGGGGCTTGTACCTGACAATCTGCCCAGGCCAGACTAGCAGAGAGAAGCTGGATGCAGGTGGAGAGAGACCTGATCTCAACCTTCTATAGGGACTTGGCTCACCAGGTACCCAGTGGAATTTGTTTGCTCCTAAAACCAAACAAAACAGAATCCCAGGAGGAAGAAGGACCCAGATTTTATGTTTGTTTCTCTCTGAGGTCCCCAGGGCTAGTGATTTTTAAAGCAAGTCTCCTGGCAACACCAGTTGGAAATCTCTAGGCATTTCCATGGTTTCTCTGGGAGGAAAGCTGAACTTGATGAAATTCTAATTGGAGAATTAAATTCATTTAATTAAATGGTTTGCCACCCTAACAGAAAAGCTTTGAGCACTTCTAAAAAGAAGCAAGGGAGTGGGCCTGGTGGTGTATGGCAATCACAACACTCAGGAGGAGAGGCAGAAGGCCTGGTGGTGCAAGCCAAGCCCAGCACTCAGGAAGGGGAGGGGTACAGGCGTACTTATCATTTCTCAGCCAGCCAGAGTTACACAGCGAGACCCTGGCCAAAATTAAACAGACAAACAAAAAGCTCAAAACAGACAACAGGGAATTAGGTTCACTAATCTTTCCGTTTAGACTTAATTTTCTATTCCCTGATTAAAGTGGAAAAACTTTTTACAAAGTTCTAAAAGCCTTTTAACCCAGAATCAACACATTATGACGTTCTTATGCAGTGATGTATCCCAGAAAAATTGCATAGACATTAAAAAGCATAAAATTAAAATGTTTTCCTAATGTAACCCATTTCTAGCTTCTTACCTAAATATCTAATTATGGCATGCATTCTGTGCATGCATGTGTTTCATACATCTATTTCATATATGTGTATATACATTCATCAATATATATATATATAATTAATACACTCCCAGACACAGATAATGTGAAAAAAAATTATAAATTTAAACTGACTCCTCATTGTGATTTTTCTTCCAGGAAATCTCATTAGGTATTTCAAGTTATAAAAAAATTAGCACCCAAATAATTTATAACCCACAAAAAATTAACCCTAGGTTGGAGTTTGTTTTTTTTCTAAGTATTCATCTTCAATTCATTAGTGACCATTTCTTCCTGAAGTCAGTTACTTCTTTTGCATTTCTGTTTCTTTAATCTGTGACTATGAAATGGATCCCAGAACTGAAGCATTGATTATTCTGATATAGTAGCTCTTCACAACTCAAAGGATAGCTGTAGGCAGGGAGCCTCTCTTCCATGTGTTCTATATAAACACACATGTATACACACACAAGCTTGTCTAGTACACAACGTTTAAGTTGAATTTAATAAATTTCTTTCTGTATAGTGATTCCTTGTGTTTCTTTTCTTTTTGTGAAGAACTTAAATGCATGTCTTGGACAGAGAGGGTGTTGATCTTACTATTATAAACCTTTAATATTTGATGTGATGTAGTACAAACAGCTTACTGTCTCAGATTTGCATATGCAAGCAATTATAACAGGAAACTCACTTATTTAAAAATAAAAACCAAGCGCACTGACTGAACAATCTATTTTAAAAGGAAATTAATACCATTATGAAGAAATTACACACACAGCAGACAGTAATGTTCTGAGGAACATAGAACAGAATCTATATTATATCTACATTATACCACGGCCACACAGAGAAAAGGAGAAAAACATGAAATCAAAGATTACCTTTTTGTGCAAGGCATGGAATTCACTGTACCTTTTCTCAACAAAATGTTTTCTTCCATTCATTAGCACTTCTATTTTAAACACCTAAGGAAAAAAATTAGAGAGATTAATTCTGCTGGTTCAAACCCCTCAATTGTCGATGTGGTAAGTTTGTGACCATGATATATTTCATCCCTTTAATTACAGAAGCCCATTCTCCCCAAACCCAGAAGGCTCTGGAGACCCTGACCCAACAGCACTGATTAATGAGCCCTTGAACCAAATGCTCACTCACTCACTGCAGCATTCTCCAAGAATGTGTCCACACACGGGAAACTTCCATGCACTGAAATGCTAATTCATTTTTTATGCAGGGAATACCCTTCCCTTGAAATGACTTCATCAAATGGCTATGACGGTACAGATCTGATAGTGTGCTGCCAAAGCCAGACCCCTGAGGACTCGGTCACACGGCACCCTGACTGGGTACTTCAAGGAAGGCAGTGTGTCATCTGAGACAATCATGCAAACAGCAGTGCATTTTAGGTTAATTTCTTCCTAACCTGCATATTCGTCTCTAGTCTCAGCTGGGCTTATCCTGCTGTTTGCAAACAGGGCAAATGCAGGGAGGGCTCATTTTCCCTTCGTGATGTGAGTGACAGCCTGTGTTCTCACTTCCAGAAGGTTGAAAGGCCAGAGGCAGAGGTGCTCTGGGCACACTAATTAGTAGGCACTAACATGACATTTTCTTGATTCTTGGGTCAGTGGGTCAAGACTGGGAACAGGGTGGAGGAGTATTGCTCATGAAAATACAAGGCTATGCTCTGGGAAGGAGGAGTGCCTGGCAGGAAATAAAGAGCTAGTGCTATTCTGGAGTCTCTGTCTCACCCTTGTTTTACTAAGTGAGACTTTATAAACACCAACATGAGAGAATATTGGCAAGCTGGATTTCCAGTTTTAGTCAACCCTCTGGAAAAGAACAAAGGACACAGAAGAATAAAAACAAACAAACAAAAAACACTTTCATCCAAAATATAATATGCATTTGTATTTAATATAGAACATAAAAGGTTCTATACTTTCAATACAAAAATAGAGCCCAATGGCCCTGTACTTCCGCTTTGTATGTAACGTAACTATTTTAAGTCAGACTTACTATCACACATAAACAATGCCTGTAGTTTTGTATCTTTGAATCAGATATTTTTCCACTGCAACACTCAGTTAAAGAAAACTATTTTTTTTTAAAAATTTACTGAAAAATTTTTTATCAGTTTAACCAGTATTTCATATTAACATTTCATTTCTTCAAGAATTCTTCCTCAATGCTTTTCTTCAGTGATTTAAGAAATACATTTTCTTGTAAAATATGCATATGCTTCAAACAGATACATATCCATCGCTTCTTAGAAAAACATTATTTACTAATTTACCAAAGAAAATAATCCTTCTTGCAAGATCCTGTCAGAAAGAGAACTAGAAAGACATTTCCAGAAACAGACAGAGAAGCAGGCAGCTTCAAACTGGGTGGGTGGGGGTGTTCCTTAGTGTCAAGTCCCTGATTTGATCAAAACAATGTGGCAACAATCTGATGAGCTGATAAAACTATTCCAGGTCTGGCTACTTGGGGCTGCATCACAGCAGCCCCTTTAATTGGCTGAAGAATCCATAGGACAGTGGCTTAGTAAGGCTCAACCTACTGGGTCACCTTCAGACTGCCCCTCTTAAGACACATTCTGCTCTAAGTGCCTCAGGGAACATCATCCCATTTCTGCTCAAAACAGTTCTATCCTCAAGTTCCACAATTAATCTTTACAAACATTAAGTTCACATGGAGGCAGAGAAGTGGAGGAGACACAAATACAAGGTAAGTTTATAGCAAGTGTTAACCTTATTCCATTGCCATTGAAAATATATCTTGCCCAGTGCTGCTAACATTTTTTTTTTCCTTCTGGGTTCTGGGCAAACATCTTAGAAAGGATGCTGTTTGGCTAGAATGGAGTTAGTTCAGTACTTCTCCTTTATTATCTTTGCTACAAAGGAAACCCTTGGCTCACTTTGCTGTCCTGGAAAAGTGGCATCTCAGGACTCATGGAACAATGTCTGGATGGCACCGGCACAGTGCCTGGCATTCAGTTGTTAATTTATGCAACACATTCACAAAGAGTTTACATTGTGCCTGGGGGTTGTTCAGGGCTCTAGGATTCAGTACTGAAAAGACAAGGGCCTGGCCCTTCAAGGAGCTGAGATGCTCAGCAATGAGTGAAGGATGACACAGCTGTGCACAAGTGACAAGATGTCTAGCCACACATACTCAGTGTCCACAGTACAGCAAATCAGACATGGAGCTTGACAAGGATGTTAGACAGTGTGCAGGGAAGGTCTCCCTGAGGACGGAGGCAGGGAAAATAGTATATGAGTTAATATTTTTAAGAAATATAAAATTATGCAGCCCACAGCAAGATAAAATTCTGTTTGGTAACCAACCGAAAAGCAGCAGGAAACAAACTTATAAAGAGAATAAAAACCAATGATAGACACTGATTCAGAAAAGATACAAGACTCGTGGATAAAAGCATTCACTGGCATTTATTGTTATGAAGGAATTTCTTACTTTCAAGATCCCAGATGAAAGGCTAACTGTTCGATGGAAATGGGGAAGCCATAGCAGAAAACCCAAACTACATGGAGTTTGTTGATGACATCATTGATGTCTGTAATGAAAAATACACTGGATATGATTAATAATAGACTAGTCATTGAAGAAGAAAAGGTTAGCCGGGCAGAAGTGGTGCTCACCTTTCATCCTAGCACTTGGGAGGCAGAGGCAGGCAGATCTCTGAGTTTGAGGCCATTATGGTCTGCACAAAGAGTTCTATGAAAGTCAGGGCTACTCAGAGAAACGGTGTCTCAAAAAAGAAAGAAAAAGAGAGAGAGAGAGAGAGAGAGAGAGAGAGAGAGAGAGAGAGAGAGAGAGAGAGAGAGTAGTGGAGGCAGAGGAAGGTTAATGTTGAGAATCTAGTAATAGAAACTATCCAACATGAAACTGTTCAGACACGGTGGGGGGGGGAGACACAGTATCAGTGAACTATGTGTTTGATCACTAAACAGAAAAATGTACCTATAAGCTGAAAAATACAAATGAACAAATCCAACTCAATGGAGACACACATACACACTCTCTCTCAGGAAAAAAAAAAAAAAAGAACAGCAAATCAACGGCATAACATTGTTCAAAGCCGGTAGGACAAAGAAAGTCTCAAATGCAGCAGAGAAAACATAGATACTACACAGAAAAAAAGAAGCAAATACATTATTATGTGAATAACCAAGATTTAATGCATATATAAGTATGTCAACTATATTTTAAAAGATATGACTTGGACATCGATGCAAACATATTCCAACTCTTTACTCACAGAAAAAAAAAAAAGTTTAATTGTTACACCTACATGACTGGCACCAGCTTCCCCAGTTTGCAGGTAAGGCAGGAAATGGGGAGATAGCACAACTTCACTGCCCCTTCAATCCACAATTTAGCTCCGGAATCTGTCTTAGCCACAGTATTACAGCAAGTCCCAGACCAGTGGACAGACTCCTCTACACAGCCCCATGCCTCCTACTTGGAGGTGGGAGAAACCTCGAAGTATTCTGCAGTGAAGACAGCATCTTCCATTAACTGCTCTCAAGGTCTTCATTTCTGGAGAACATTGCAGGAATAAAGAACTGGGGGGGGGGGAGCACATGGCCTGTACTCCTGGGAAAGGGGGAACATTTCCTTTACTCT